TGATATTAATCCAGCATAAAGAAATTCATTTGCTTGATTCACTCTGGATTTCAATAGTAGAATTATGGTTCCGTGAAATTTTTTAAAAGAAGATTATGAACAAGAGATCCATAAGATGTTTCCCCTAGTCTATTAATTTGAACTTAGTTCGCTTACTTTTATCTATTCTAACAACGAAATGGCGTAGTAATATGCGGCGAGCATTCCTCTTTAAAGATGAAGAAGTATTAAGAACAAAGTGTTTCGCATAAGATCCATAAATCAATAATTTGACGTAGAAGGATATTGAAATGGCCATATTCTTACCGTCATGTCATTCTCCTCCATGCCTTGACCTGATTCAATAGGAGTGTCGGAATCTGCACCCTCATTCATATGCTCATGATCCATATCATGCACCTTACTAACGTTAGAAGATTCGCTCGTTTGAGGAGGATAACTTGATAATGAAGGGTCTCCAGCAGGTAGATCGTCACCTACGCGATCAAGGTCCACAGTAAGGTCCATTGCTAGAATATGGATGGTAAATATAGACGAAATGATACTGTAAACGATACAGAGAACCATACCAATATAGAAAATCAAGCAAAGTTATTGGTGCAATATAAAGTTCAATTTGTAAAAAAGAATACTGATCTTTCAAAGTAAATCATTATTATAATTAAGTTAGCTGGATGTGAAAAATAGCCTGTAACGAATAAGATTTTACAAAAGATGTAGGTAAGACAAGAGGATTCACTTCCGAAATACAACACACATCGATGATAGGCCTTCAGTAAATCAATTTAACTAATATTTCAAGAAGATACCTTATATAGATAAAAATGTAAAACAACTAAGACTATTTAATTAGGTGAATAGATTCGAAGGTCGGTTCTACCAGAAGATGAAGGCGGATTCATCTTGATCAGCTGTTGATTGGCTTTACTGGAAGATTCATGCTGACCCTGTTTCCGAGGTAATCTCCTTCGATTCTGGTGAAAAAGTGGTAAGCTTTCGTCCGTCATATGACGATCATCAGAGCAAGGTATCATCGTCACAACAAAATTCAAGCTGAGTCAAGAAAACTCACCGGGAAATCCCTAAAAAGTTGTATATATACTCTACATCTGACAACTTTGATCAAGTATAAAGTGATTTGGTTAGTTAAGGTCATATGTCAACTTCGATGCCTGTGAGTGTGTCTGTCTCTATATATGTATGTGCCTGTTTGCGTTCGCTTAAGTATGAAACCCGCAGTGATGGCTCAAAGAAATTAGGACAGCAAAAGGAAACGTCTGTTTTTGACCATCAAGGTTTGATGACCCATCTCCCCCTTTCTACATACATGTTATAACCATCACTTCGATTGCGCAAGGTCGGACACTCGTCTGGTTTTGTTGATGAGCCTTTTTTTTGTTTTTTGTTTCAATGCGGGAGAGAAAGAGTCAGCTAAAAGTACAGAGAAGTGACTATAATTAGAACCAAGACAAGAAAAAACTAGTTGCGTCGCTTCTTTTTTGCAGGCGGCTCAACTCCCTCTATCCTTCAGTCTATTAATTAAGCACAAGTAATTTTTACTTATCTTCTTACCAGTATTCCTTACTTCCAAGGTTTTTCCTATTAGGAAGCAAGCTCAACAATTATGAAACAAGAGATTCCTCGAAACCGAACTTTTCTTCGCATATTTTATTAGGAACTAACATCCAAAACGTAATGGAACATGGAGCCAATTAAAATAATAAGAAGTCAGATGCACAAAAACTAAATAAGCAGGGAGAGCCTCTAACGAGCCTAATTCATAAGTTGAACGAGAAAATTTCTTTTTAGTTTATAAATAAGTTTTCGAGACTACCAGTAGATATACGAAGTGTATTCATCCTATTTTGTTAAAGGTTGTAGTGAGATATACCTACATTGTCCTACTCAATGTTTAGCTTTGTTACATCACGTACGTAGCCACGACTCAACACCTTATGATACAGAGATCACGTGAGAGTTTGGCTAATCATTATTCTTTATTTCACATCGACTAATCAAAGCTTAAAACCAAATCGTGTCTATTTTTTGAACAAGTCATAAGGTGACATGCAAACTTACGCAACTGTATTTCAAGCAGCTAACATACTGTATAGGTGGGTCAAATTCTCCTCCTCTTTCTTTCCTCTGCGGTTACCCGCGGAGTTTGGATTCTTCTACTACGCGCCATCTTCACTGATTGACTTTTTATTATCCACCCTATACTGTAATTCAGCTGTTTAAAAATAGGACACACGGTGATACATTCCATTTTTTCTCTTTGTTC